CGTCCCAGGATCTCTGTGAATGTGCTGAGACCATGGAGGCCATCCGTGGGGTGCGAGAAAGCCCACCTAGCAGCAGAAATGCCGGCTTCCTTGCAATATCCCTGAGGAGTGGGATGGCAGCTCCCACATCACCCATTTGGCTTGGGGGGGTGGGCAACAGCGGGAGGGCTCCTGGAGTTCAGGCCCTGCTGATGGACCTCCCGACGGCCCCTGGGTTTTGGCCCCTGTGTGACACAGAGTGTAGGTCCGGAAGGGTCACTGGCCTGATCCAGCACGGCTTCCCTGATGCTCTGACTGCTCTGTAGTCCCTGCAGCCCTTGTGTGGGTCATTCCCCAGTGCACCGCATCCCTTGGGCATCGGGTCCTTTTCTCAGAGTGTGCTCAGGAGCCTCGGTGCCTCTGCTCAGCCACCCCCCCACCCCCACCCCGGACGCACATGTCCGAGCCTGCAGGCCCCCTCAGTCTCCTCTGCAGGGCGAAGGGCTGCCCAGAACTCCCATGCCATGGAATGCCCAGGGGGCACAAAGCCAGAAGCCCTCCTCCCCCCACCTCTGGCTGGATAGAACTGGCACCGTGGCGGAATTCTCTGCAGCTGTGCTTTATGGCCGTGTGCGTGCCTCCGCTGGGAACCCTCCGTTGGAAATGGGAACCAGATGCTTCCCTAAATGGGTCATCGGTGCTTTGTTCTTTTATACCTGTTGACCATTCCGGTGGGGCTAATTGAACCTCCCACACCTCTCTGGTTGGGTGCTGGAGGGAATTTCCATCTGCCAGAGAAACCTTATCCCCTTCCCCCCCCCGCCGCCCACCCCCTCTTCTCTGCCCATTCCCATGGCTCGGAAAGGCGGTTGAGGGGCAGGCGGAACATGGCCGTGGGCCAGACTGATGCATTTACCAAACCCCAGCAAAGAGGGGACGCCGTGCCAAGGAGGAAGGAAGGAAGGAGCCCATCCTTGCCCCAGGCCAAAAACATTTTGGAGGAGGGAACTGCGGGGCCAGAAATTGGTCCGTATCAAAGAGGAGCCCCCCAGCCCCCCTCGCAGCCCCCGGCCTGAGGAGGCCAGCCCCGTCACGGCTCCTGCTGCCGCCGAAACCCCCCTCTCGCCCGCCGCCTTCATCGACTCCATCCTGCAGGAGGAGGAGTCCGGCAGCCCCGCAGGCCCCACCGCAGGCAGCGTCCTCGTGCAGCCCCCGCCCCCCGAAAAGTGCCTCAGCGTCGCCTGCCTCGACAAGTAAGTTGGCAGGGGGGGAACCAGGCTGCAGAGCTGGTGGCGGGACAATTGTAGAGTGGGGCAAGAGTGAACAAGAGCCCAGGACGAGGTCAGTGAGTCATTCCCTCCCGCCGTCTGCCTCCCCAACACTCGGCCCGGCTGTGGTACAGCGGTAGCACATCTGCCTGGCATGCAGGAGGTCCCAGATTCAACCCCTGCCATCTCCAGTGACGGGAAAGGGCTTCCTCTGCCTGGAGACCCTGCTGAGACCTGCTGCCAGTCTGAGTAGGCAACACTGACTGTGATGGACCCAGGGTCTGGTTCGGTATCGGGCAGCTTCAAGCCTTCATAGCACTCCTCCTCTTTCTCCAGTTTGGTGTGGTGGTTAAATGCGCGGACTCTGATCTGGGAGAACCGGGTTTGATTCCCCACTTCTCCTCCACTTGCAGCTGGCTGGATGACCTTGGGCAAGCCGTAGTTCTGATAAGAGCTGTCCTTGAAAAAGAGCAGTTCCTGTCAGAGCTCTCTCAGCCCCACCCACCTCACAGGGTGTCTGTTGTGGGGAGGAGAAGGGAAAGGAGTTCGTAAGCTGCTCTGAGACGCTGAGCGAAGGGCAGGGGGTATAAATCCAATCTCTTCTTCCTCCTCCTCCTCGTCCTTCACTCCCTTGTGAACGGCAGCCTCAGAGCGGAGGACTTCCGGGCTCTCCCAGGTCAGTGGGCCATCAGCCGGTCGTCTCAGACCAGATTCGGCCAGGGGACCGTCACCTGCTGACCCTTGCCCAGGACGGACACTGCCCACCCAGCTGAGTCCTCACACACCCCTCCCCCTCCCATCCTGAGTGGGGCTGACTCTGTGGCACTGCAGAGGGGTCCCTCCTCCCCTGTTTGGGGCAAGCCTCTTGCTTGCCCAGAGCTCAGGTGCTCAGCAGCATCTTGGGGTCTTTCTGGGCTTGCTCGGACCCCTCACTGCAGGGGCCTCCACCAAGCTCCTTGGCCCCGGCTTTATTAGCAACAAATGAGTTAAAACACAGTATTTAAATAAGTAAAACCACAACATATAAAATCATGGGTGCCAGTAACATAGATGTCAACAGGGGTCATTTTGTAGAAAAAGAGGTGCAGGAGCTTATTAGCATAACTCATTAGCATAACTTATTTGCATATGCCACACCCCCTGACATCACCGGAAGTGTGTCGGAAGGCAACACCCACCGCTCAGGCTCCACTGGACTGTTTTGGATTGCTAGCTATTGGGGGGGGGGGACATGCAGATCTGTCTTTGCACAGGAGGGAGAGCTTGTACCTGAATAAAACCTGGTCTTAAAGGTGCCACTGGACTGTTTTGGACCAGGGGGGCCGGGGGTGAGGAGCTCTGCGACTTACCTGGCTGCTTCTTGCTCTGACTGAGGGCTGCTGGGAGCAGGGGGTGGGGCTTGTTGCATGTGCCCGCCCCCTTGGGCGCTTTACTGCTGGAGCTCTGCTCCTGTGCGCTCCTGCAGGAAATGACCCCTGGGTGTCAGTAAGTATTAAGAAGGGATGGCGGTGTGCTCTCCAGGCTGTTCCCTTCTCCAGAATTCCTGGGGAACAGAAAGAACCACAAGCATAAGGTACGAACGCTACACAGAACTACTCTTAGTCAGAGGAAGGTCGCTGCTCTCTCCCGCCAGGCAAGTTCCTGCCTCTGACTTGGCCAGCAGTGGACACAGAAGGAGAGCCAGTCGAATGACTGGCTTGGGGTGAGATCTGGTTCACCCAGGCAGTAGAAGGAGACGGAATTAAGGAGGCGGGGCGCTCTGCCAAGGGAGAATCCCCGTGCCTAGAAAACCGACGCACCAGGGAGAAGGGTTCCAGCCTGGCCTCTTCCTCGTTCCTGAGGAGCAGAGGATCTCATGGCGTGTTCAGTTTGCTCTTGCCGTGAGGCGACGCCAGGTGCGAGGGTCCCGGCCCTGATCAGACCGCCCCTCTCTTTCAAAGCCGTTCAATGCCCAACCAAAGGCCCTGGGTGTGGCCCTGGTTTCAGACAGATCCCAAAAGGGAGCAAGAGAATGCCCAATGCAGACTCCTGCCCCCATCCCCATTCCCTGACACCCTGGGCGGGGCAGCGGGGAGTAGGCTCCAGGGTGCGATGCTGCTGCCGGCCCCTTTGCCCCAGACCAAAAGGGGCACTTTGATGCCGGAGGCCCCACTGGTGGCCCGGAGCTCTGCAGCAGGCAGAAGGGGTCGCTCTGGAACCTGCAGCCTTCCCTGGTGCAGAGAGGCAAGAGGGAGGCATCCCAGGGAGGAAGGGGCCCAGCTTCTTGACACACACCCCCCCGCCTTTCTCGGCTGTGCTCAGGATACGTGATGGCAGACCTGGAAAACAGGGAGGATCCCAGGGAAAGCCTGCCCTTAGCCCAAGGCCTGCCGGACTCCCCTCCAGCGGCTCCCTTCCTGTGTGCCGGAGGCCACCGGTGCCGTGCCCCAGCGCTTGGAGAGCCCAGTGAGGAGGCCTGCAGGGGCCCAGGTCCAAATCCCCGCTTGCCAATGAAGTTCACTGAGCGACTGAGGGGGGGGGGGCAGGTGCTCGCTCTCAACCTAAACGGCCTCACAGGAGTGTCCTGAGGGTAACAGGGCAGTGGGGAGAAGTCTGCCTGCCACCCTGGGGGGCTCCTTGAAGCACGGATGGGGTACAAACGCAGCAAGCAGGGAGACCACCTGGGTGCCCTGGCAGAGGTGCACAGCTGTCCGTAACAGACACCGATCCCTGTGAGCAGACCAGTCCCTCCTTTGCCCTCTTGGAAGAGGAATTCCGCCTTGCCAGATGCCTCTTCTGTTCCGTTACTTTGCCATTGAACGCACAAAGTTCTGCCCGTGCTGTGAAGGGGCACCAAGAAACCCCGAGCTTTTGTCTTGGGGCAGTTGCCCCAGAGACCCCACATCCCCGAGGCTGACTGCCGTCTGGTCGTGGCTACCTCGTGCTTTCCCCCGCATCATGCTCCTTCCCCTCCCTGTCCTGGGTGACCCAAGAGACGGGGCGTGACTCACGCGTGCGCAGCGCCCCAGGCCGGAATCCATCTTTCGTGCCTGTTGAAAGTAACCTCTGTTTCCTCCCCAGAGGCAACGGGCCTTTGGAGTCTAGTTTTCTTCTCCCCTTTGTCGTCTCTTTCAGTTTGGCGCGTACTCCGCAGATGTCTGAGATCGCCCGTCTTTTCCCCAGCCCTTCTTCTTCCTCTCTGCACTGCAGACCACAGCAAGGGTTAGCATTTCCGTGGCTTGCTGCTCCCCAGGGGGAGCGGGGTGAATATGGGGGCAGGAAGCCCCGTGCGCCGCCTCCCCTCCGAGGGCCAGTGGGGTCAGGCACTTGACGCGGGGGAGAGGGGAGTCCCCCGCTCGGGTCAGGTGAGGTGGACCCCACAGCCCTGAGATGCCTGGCTTTTCTCCCTCCGGTCAATGGCCCTGGTGCTCTAGGGGTGTGCTGAGAAACTAGAGTGGCTGTGCTGCTTTCGGGCAGACATTCTTGTGTTCTCCTTTGTGCGAACTGCCGCCTAGGCTGAAGTGGGTTTGGGGGGTGGTCTAGGGGGCCCCTGTCGGGGAGCACCGTGGCCCAGCCAGCAGTGGGAGAGGGTCCCCAGTTTGATACCCGGCATCCAACGGAAGACTCTCGGGTAGCAGAGCTGGCCCAAAGCTCTCTCTGCCGGAGGGCCAGCGGCAGGACACAGCAGAGGGCCGGCTTTGCCGTCCAGCGGCTTCACGCGTTCCCCTTGGGGTCCGGGCCCTGCAGCCCTCAGCTTGGAGACCCAGCAGAAGGGGGGGGCTGCGGTCCACTCCGTCCCCCTCCTTGGCTCTGCCGCCCACCTGCATTGCTCCGGCGAAGGGGGGAGGGAGTGTGTCTGCTGGTCCGGGGGGCCTCGACTGCACGGCCCTTAGCGTCAGGTCCGGTAGCACCTTAGAGACCAGCGAGGTTTCCGGGGCGTCCGCTTCCGAGAGTCCAGGCTCCCTGGGCTGGCCTTGGCTGGGAGGGCGGGGTATAAGTCTAAGTAAATAAGTGGTGAGACAGAAGGGACCACTGCACCCTTTCCCCCTGAGCCCGAAAGGTTTGTGGGAGCTGGTGTGACACTCCTGTGGTTTCCAGGAGGAGGCTCATTGTCCTGCTGAGTGGTAGCACCCTCTTTGCTGCCGGCCACATCCCCCATGCCTCCTCTGAGCGGTCAGGCAGCTGCCGGCACAGGGGTCATTTCGTAGAAAAAGAGGTGCAGGAGCTCATTAGCGTAACTCAATAGCATAACCGGAAGTGTGTCAGAAGGCAACACCCACCGCTCAGGCTCCACTGGACTGTTTTGGATTGCTAGCTATTGGGGTGGGGGACGGAACGTGCAGATCTGTCCTCGCAGAAGAGGGAGAGCTTGTACCTGAAGGCGGGCCGGGGGGGGGGTCTCTGCAACTTACCTGGCTGCTTCTTGCTCCTCGTGGCCCAACTGAGGGCTGCTGGGAGCAGGGGGCGGGGCTTGTTGCATGTGCCCACCCCCTGGGCTCCTTACTGCCAGAGCTCCGCTCCTGTGCACTCCCGCAGAAAATGACCCCTGTTAAGGGTCCAGAGGGCCTGGCTGAGTGGTGAAAAATCCAACCTGGAGGGAGGGGGGGTCCTTCCTCTCCCCCTTCGCCTGGGCTGACCCCGCTGAGAATCGACCTCCAGTGCCTTTCCTGGGTGCCCTTTTCCAAAATCTGACTCGGTGCTCCTCGCCCTCCTGGCTTTGTCGGTCAGAGAATGGCAGGGAGCGTGAGGGTCCGCTCCCCCCTCCGCACTTCAGCCCACCCTCCCTCCCCTCTGCGTGGCTGGGGCCCAGCTCACTTGTGGCGGTGGCGGCCCTGAGTCAAGCCCCGCCCTGGCCACACCCTCCACAGGGGCCCCCGGGAAGGTTCAGGCGAGCCGTGCTGCTTCCGAGGGAAGCTGGGTCCCCGCCATCCCAGAGCAGATCCTGCCCTCAGGAAGCTTCGTCGCTCCACCAGTCTGGACTGGAGGGGAGCTGAGCAAACACCGCTCACTCGCGCCCGGCTCCCCCCACCCCCCCACCCCACCCCCCAGTTCTCAGGTGCTTCATAGCCATGGATGATGCTGCGCAAGTTCGAGGAGACGGCTTGGAAGCCTCCTGTATCCAAAGCGGACAGGCAGCGTACCTGTCGTGACGGGCAAGAGAGGCCAATTTCAGGGAGGGAAGAGGTGGTGGCTGCGAATGGCCACAGGCCACGCGACCCCCTCCTCTCAGGCACCGACAGCCGTGTCTCCCGCCCCCATCCATAGCTGGGAGAAGCTCCTGTTTGTGTCTTCAGTGAGGCCACGCTGGAACGGATAACTCCCCGTCTCAGTCCCCCCCCCAAGGCCCCCGGCTGCTCCTGAGAACAGGCAGGGGTGAGGGTGGGGAGCTCCTCTGGGGGGCCGGACCCGCGCCGCAAGAGGCGCTGGGCTCGGAGCGGGGCCCTGACTCTGGCCGTGCTCCTCCTCTCTGTCGTTTCCCCAGGAGTGAGCTCACTGACCACTTGGACACCATCGATTCCAACCTGGATAACCTGCAGACCATGCTGACGACCCACGGGTTCAGTGTAGACACGAGCGCCTTGCTAGATGTAAGTCCCCCCTGTCCCGTTTTGGGGTGGGGGGGTGGGGGGGTGTTGTGCTTCCCTCTCCTGACAGTCGCTTCCTTTCACCCTGTCGACAGCTCTTCAGTCCTTCCATGACGGTGACGGACGTGAACTTGCCAGACCTGGACAGCAGCTTGGCCAGCGTGAGTTTGCGCTCGCAAATCTCCAGAGGGAAGGACACCCCCCCCCCCCGCCTGGAGCCACGGGGGCACATGAGGGTGACGGGGGCCTCCCCCAAATATGTCCAGCCCCCCAGGGGAGGGAGAGGGGTCTTCCTGCTTCCACAGCCGGGTTCTTCTGCTGGGCCCAGGCGTTGCTTTTCCCACCAGGCACGGTGGGCTGGTACTTCAAGGGGGCCGTTCTGGGGTGCTGTTATGGGTAGCCAGGCGGGAGACAGGGACCCCGGTGGAGCGGGCTCAGCTTTCTCCCTTCTCGCTATTTGGGATAAGATTGGGGCGGGGGCGGGAATGTGACTCTGGAGTGGCCTCTCATGAGGCTGCCCTGGCCGTGCGACAGCAGCTGCTTCCCTCCGGCCTTTGGGAAGCCGCCTGCGTTGGGGGGCTGGATCACCCACTGAGCCTCTCCTCCCCCCCCCAGATCCAAGACCTCCTCTCGTCGCAGGAGCAACAGAAGCCCACGGAGACAGAAGCCTCCCCAGCAGACGCAGGTCAGTGGGGGGTGGCCCTTCTCGAGCCCCAGGGGAGCACCTGGGTCCCCTGGCCCCCCTCTCTTCCTCCTGGGGCTCTTTGGGCTTCTCTCCCAGCCAGAGACCCCCTCCCTCCCGCTCACTGACCGGCTAGCCTGACGTAGGGCACTGTCCTCTCTCCCTGGGCGGGAGAGCTCCTTCCCCAAGCCCTCCCGCCCCCCTCAGCCTTCTGCTCCCGGAGGGGCTGTCCCTAGCTGCCCACCACCGCTCATCAGACTGCCCGTCTCCCACTCTAGGCAAGCAGCTGGTGCACTACACCGCCCAGCCCCTCTTCCTGGTGGACTCCAGCTCCATGGACGTCGGCGGGACGGACACGCCCATTTTCTTTGAACTGGGGGAAGGGCCCTGCTTCATGGAAGGAAACGACTACTTGGAGGACCCCACCATCTCCCTCTTCTCCGGGACGGAGCACCCCAAGCCCAAGGACCCGGCCGTCTCCTAAGACCCAGCCCGCTCCAGCGGGGAGAGAGACTACCCCGGCCAGCGGCTGCCGCCTCGCGTTGCTCCGACGCGGCCACGAGCTTCCTGATCTCTCTGGGGCTCTCCAGGGACGCAGGGGTTCCGCTTGTGTGTGTGTGTGTGTGCGCACGCGCGCTTCACGAGGTGTCCGGGGGCCCTCTTCTGGGATGGCGGCTCTGGGCAGGAAGGGGGGTCTCTGGAGAAGGCACGGGTGCACTGGGCAGCCGCCGCCCGTGGAGTCTGGTGAGCACGCTTGGCCTGCTGTGTCCCTGGTGATCCCCGCGCCGGACTGGGGGGCGGAGGGAACGCCTCTGGTGAGGACGGACGTGTTGGTTTCGAGCGAGAAATAAAAGTGTGCCCCCCCCCATGGGGGCTCGAGGGCCGGGTCCCCTTCTTGTGTCTGCCGTCCTGGAGGCTCCCAGAGGTCGGGGGGCACCCGTGTGAGAAGTCGCCCCTCCCTAACCCCCCCCCATTCCTTTTGGAGTGTCCCCCCATCGGGGTTTGTTTTCCTTGGCTTAGCAGTAAGAATTTGTACATTCACACTTTGATTGTTACTAGAAGAAATTGTATTTTGGATTTTTACATGAGAGAAGAAGCCCCCTCCCTCGTCCCCCCAACCTTTCTCTCCTCTGATATATAAATATCTATATATACATATGCAAATATATCTATATCTATACGAGACGGTCTGTGGGTTTTCTTGTGGCGGGAGGTCCTCCTGTTGTCGTGTGCCAAAGGGGGGAGGAGGAGGAGGAGGTCGTGCAGAAGAAGGCCCCTTCCTGCCCGCTGGTCCCGGTTGGTGCCCGGAGAGGATGGCAGAGACGCAGGGGCCGCTCAGGCCTGGGGCTGTGGCCCCCTGGAGATCCCCTCCTCTGCTCCTCCGCTCTTTGGCTGCTTGCTGGGCTTGGGGTGGGGGTGGGGGGGTGCGGAAGGGCCGTCATCAGCCCGGCTCTGCTTCTGCTGAGTGACTTCCAAGCAATCTCCTGCCCGGGTGGCCGAAGTGGGCCTGGTGCCGAAGGTGCTGCTGCTGCTGCTCTGTGTGGCCTCCCACCCCAGGCCAGGCTCTGGCTCTCTCAGGCCTTCAGTCTTGGGATCAGGGCCACTGTCAGGATTACAGCTGCCCACCCGCATTCCCCCTTAGATTGTCAAAAAGCCCAGGCCCCGCGGGGGGGGGGGGGGGCGCTTCTTCTTTGCCATCGATTTCCCTGAGAGCACCTGGGCAAGGAGTGGACTGCCTCTCTCGGCTCACCCGCTCCTCCCTGGCCATGCTGTGGCTGCTTCCCTGCCTTACGTGCATGAAACGGGGGGGGGGGGACTGTCGAAGCCCCTTCCCCAGAGCAGTCCTTCTGCGAGCCGAGCCCTTCCCCGCCGCCCCCCCCCCCACCATAGGGAAAGGGAAACTATAAACTATGGGAGAAAGTAAAGATAAACCACTAAAACCCCAAGAGGTGGGGGTCATATAATGCTTACAATAAAGTAGCTTTGACTAAAAAAAGAATAATTTCTTACATTGTAGGTGATCGTTAAAATCGCTTAAATTAAAGTCCAGGTATTCTGACTTAGTAAAGAACCATACACAAGAACAGTTAGATAATAAGAATCAAAAGTCAAACTTCAGGGAAAGTCAGCATTTCATTTGCCTCTTCTTTCCCTCAATCAATATCCTTGCTGGGGGGCAGCTGCCCCACGTTCCGAATCTTCTCCAGTAAGTGCTTCATCCTCACTCCTCTTGTTGCTCTTCTCATCCTCTTCTCCTGTTGGATCCAGTTGTTGCTGCAGAAACTGTCTTGCTTTCATAACAGAGTCAATTTTCCCCCTCTTGTCTTTAAATTTGAAGAGTATGCCTTTGGGTACAATCCATTTGTAGGATATGTTGTTCTTTTGTAGAAACAAAGCCAAGTCTCTGTATTTTTTCCTTTTTTTCCTTATTTCAAAGGGAATGTTTTTCAAAACTCCTTATCTCCTTGCCATCAATTTTAAGGGTAGTTCGACTCTGTGCCTGGCTCTGAAACTCAGTTCCCAAAGGCTGGCCAGGCGTCTTGCTGCGCCTTTCTCGGGAGGCGGTGTACAGCAGGGTTCCACCAGCGCCAGCCCCAGTGGGGAAGGTTATAACACTGTGTGGAGCTGGGGGGGGGGGGTTTGAGCGTGAAGTGCCAGCCGGTCACTTCCAACTTACGTTGACCCTATGGATAGATGACCTTCCGGTACCCTTTTACTCTACAGTTCGGGCCACCTGACCTCAAGAAGGCATCGCAGGGCTGGGAAATGAACCACTGATGCAGGCAGCCAAAGATGACGACGAGGGAAAGGGGGAGGGGTTCTGTTTACAGAAAGCACAACCCACTGGGGGGGGGAGTGATAGGAGTTTATAAAATTATGCCTAGGTGGAGAAAGTTGGACAGAGAGAACTCAGGGGTACCCAGTAAAGCCGATGAGCGACTGATTCAGGACGGACAAAGGAAATACTTCTGTACTCAGTCACAAAACGGTCGAACTCAAAGACGGTGGTTGTCATGTCTGCCATGAGGACAGATGACTTCAAAAGGGGGATTAGACAGGGTCCTAGAGGGAGCAGTCCATAAGTAGTTAAGGGAACCTCCACATTCAGAGGCAGCAAGCCTCTGAGACCCAGCGTTACATAGGCCTTGGCCTCTCTGTCCTGTTAGCAGCCCTCCAGACAGCGGGTTGTCCGCTGGACTAGGTGGGCCGCCGGTTTAATCCAGCAGAGCTCCTAGGAGGCGAGCCAAAGGAAAGAGCCGCTTGGTGCTCTGTAGCAGCCCCTTTCTTTCTCTGACCCTCATCTCCGTCCCACAGCGAGATTCTGTGACTGTGCCAGACAAAGTGATGCATTTGTTGCAGAGGTTCCACCCCCCCCACACACACACATGCACCATTGCAGTCTGCTACAACACCCACAGGGGTGTGCCAACGGTCGTGCCCTCGCCCCGGGCATCCCACAGACCCACTGCCCCACCCACCCACCCAGTGTGGTGCCTTTAGCTGCCAGAGGCATCCCGGGAGCCTGGCACGCGCGTCGAGATGTCACAGCTACCGCTCCGAGCAGGGAAACTTGCCAATTAGTCCACTTCCCAGCTCCCACATGTAAACCCCCGGTGCTGGGGCTGTCTGGGCTTCAGACTGGAAACTCCTTTTGCTCTGTCCTAATATTTGTGAAGAAGAAGAGGAGATTGGATCTATACCCCATGGCCCTTCACTACCCGAAGGCGTCTCAGAGCGGCTTACAAACTCCTTCCCCTCCCCACAACAGACAGACACCCTGTGAGGAAGGCGGGGCTGAGAGAGCTCTGACAGAAACGACTCTTTTTCAAGGACAGCTCTTATCAGAGCTACGGCTCGCCCAAGGTCATCCAGCCAGGTGCAAGTGGAGGAGAAGTGGGGAATCAAACTTGGTTCTCCCACATTAGACCACGACACCAAACTGGAGGAGGAGGAGGAGGAAGAGGAGGAGGAGGAGGAGATTGGATTTATACCCCATGGCCCTTCACTACCCAAAGGTTTCTCAGAGCGGCTGACAAACTCCTTTCCCTTCCCCTCCCCACAACAGACAGACACCCTGTGAGGTCGGCGGGACTGAGAGAGCTCTGACAGAAAGGGCTCTTTTTTTTCAAGGACAGCTCTGAGAGAACTACAGTTTGCCCAAGGTCATCTAGCCAGGTACAAGTGGAGGAGTGGGGAATCAGATCCGGTTCTCCCAGATTAGAGGCTGCCCACTTCACCACCACACCAAACCCAGGACTCAGGCCCCTTCCCTCCAAACCCAGCAAACCCATCGGATGGTCTGGATGGGGGAGGGCGGGGAGGACCTCCATTTTTTACCAGGTTCCTGTTTCCTGGGGTAGAGAGAAACCTCTTGGCCTGGCGTCTCCCCCAGCACCTCCCCGTGCAGAATGCCGTGAGGCCTGAATGATCCAGGACCATCCAGCGGCTGAATCTGGCCGGAGGAGACCAGAGTGTTGGGTTTGCAGCTCAGCACCAGCAAAGGAGGGGAGGCCAGCTGGTGCGACCTTCTCCTGAGTCAGGCCACTGGTCTCTCAAGGTCAGCCTTGTCCACCATGACTGGCAGTGGCTCGCTGGAGTCTTCGGTGGAGGTCCCTCAATGTTCCCTCTAAGCTAAGTCTTTTGAGCAAAAATTCTACTTTGTGAGCTATTGCCATTAAAGCTGTGAGTGAGCGATTTGGCTACTGCATAAATTAGTTTGCTCTGGTGCCATCCTTCCTGAGCTAAGACAAAAATGTGTGAGACAGAGGCTCAAAAAACTGAGCTAGCTCATACTAACTCAGCTTAGAGGGAACACTGGTCCCAATCCTTCTGAGCGGAGATGCCAGGGAAATGGGCCTGCCCCAGCACAACTAGTCCATGGGCCCTGCTTTGTCCGAGCGACGGAGGGGGGGGGCGTTGAGCCCAACTGAGAAATGAGTGGCTTCCTCCATTAGAAAGGGTTGCTGGGCATCTTGCTGGCGAGAAAAGGATGAGAATTCGGGCCAGAGCCGGGCTTCATGGTGTTAAACGCTGGGCTCTGCAAGACTCTTGCATGGAAGGTCCCAGTATAGATGAGGCAATCAGACCCTTCACTTCCTGACGGGGAACCGGGGCCCCAGAAGGAAGAAGAGGAAGAGTTGGGTTTATACCCAGTGCTCCCTCTTAAACTGTGGAGAGTCTTGTGAGCAAAACTACTTTGTGAGCCACTGGCATTCAAGTTGTGAGCGAGCCATTTGGCTGCTGCATACATTAGTTTGCTCTGGAGCCTTCCTTCCCGCACTAAGACAAAAATGTGTGAGCTGGAGGCTAAAGAAACTGAGCTAGCTCGCAATAACTCGGCTCAGAAGGAGCACTGTTTCTACCCCACCCTTCCCTTAGTGTCTCAAGAGCGGCTGACAATCTCCTTCCCCTTCCCCTCCCCACAACAGACACCCTGTGGGGTCGGTGGGGCTGAGAGAGCTCTCCCGAGAGCTGTCCTTGAGAGAACAGCTCTGCAGGAACTTGTGACTGACCCAAGGGGCTGAGGGGGTGGGCCCAGGAGGGGCCGCATCTCTCACCCTTCCAGAGGAGGGGCTCAGCCCTTGGCTGCAGCTCTCTTGGTTGACAGTGAGTCTCACACACCGTTCAACTTTTTTTTCTCTTTTTGGTATATTTGTATATGTGTGTGTGTATCCATGCCTGGGCATCATGGCGACCTCTGGTGACTCCTACTGAGGGCACAGAGGACGTTCAGGGATGTGGCTTGATAGCCGGTCTCTGGCATTCCTTAGAGGTCTCCCATCCAGATACTTGCCAGGGTCGGCTGTGCTTAGCTTCCGAGATCGGGCTGGTCTGGGCTATCCTGGTCAGGCTGCGTTCAGCGTCTATTGTCACCCTCCGCAAGGTCCGTGTGTCTCCTCCTGGGCCCAGGGCACCAGGGGCCGGGGATCTTGGTTTGGACCCTGCCGGTGATAGCGTAGGTGGGTGCAGGCGGGGCTGTCGGTCACCTCCCTGGGCATGAGCCACGCCCTGTGGCCTGTTGGCCCCCTCCCCGTGGTGCCCACACAAACAGGGGACTGGCCCATGCCACCTTGCACAGTTGCTGGGGGCTGGGGCTTTGGACGAGCCAGGGCCAACCACCCG